TGTTAAAGTTTTGTAACATATGATTTATAAAATGATTGTTTTGCTATTAAATATATTTTCCAATAAAATTATGATTTCCCGTGTAAGAATTGCCATGACTGCAAAAACGGCCCAATACTGTTGGAGCACTGGCAACCGAACCTAGTTGTGTCAAGCACTGGACCGGCTTTGAGCCAACATTGAATTGATAAGAATGGTCCGAGCATCGGTAGCCAATACTGGGCCAATAATCTATTTTTGAACGATTTTAATATTTTTTGTTTTCCGGCGCTGGCCCAATACTGATCGTTAATCATGATGCGCATGTTTATAAAGAATATTAATAATAATATTTTAACCTAAAATATATGATAAGTATCGTGTGTTCCGAGTAACTTTCATTATACCACGCAATGCTGAACAGTTATTCATATTTAAAAAAATCAAGATCCTTGAAAAGGAAAATTGTCTGTTCATCGTCGAGCAGCAGCTGTAGCGACAATGGCAGTATTTTTATAAAAAAACTTGATGCGCTTGACTTATCCCAAAAACGTAATGATCGATGCTTGAGGTAAATTTTAATTTACTTACACTTTATATGTGAATAATCTTATATGTAAATACGTAAATGATAATAAATATTAATGACGCCGACTGGTCATTAAACGCAAACTCAAACATGAATTCGATAAAAATCAAACTCGCTTCCCTGCGAAACATAACAATTTCAATCTCATATACTTCTATCTAACATTGTCACTGTGTAAAGAACTGGCCGAAAAAAGCTTGAAACTCGATAGTAATTACTTTAGGAATAACGTGTGAAGGTTTGTACTTTCATGAGATTTTATTTAACGATTCATTTAGTGCATTTTTTTCTCGTTACTGCTCACATTTGAATCTACAATTGAAAAAAATTTCGTGCCCTTTTTACGAGGTTAGCGTATACGTGTTTGTTTATTTAGATTTGAGTTTGCTTTGGTACTAGAAAATCAAGTAAAATGAGTGATTCTACATCACGAATCGTCGACTCTTTGAGGAATTGTCGTGGCATTTGCAAAGAAATGCTGGTTGATAAGCCTGTTTCAAAGATAAAGATACGTTTTTATAGCGATTATACAATTACTAAATTAAAAATAAAAATTTGAATTTATTTTCTTGTAGGTTATAACACTTATGATTGCAGAAGGTACTTTGGACTTGCAACAAACATTGCTGCAACAGCTGAGAACTGAGTTAGCTTTAGATCTGCCATATGATGTTCTGAGTGATATCGAAGAGCTTATCCAATCGTCTCAAACGATTTTGAGTGATGCTGTATTTCGGCCTTACAGTTCACAGTTATATACAGAAGAACTTCATACAAAAATCGTTCGCAATGCTATGCTCCATGAAAACTTGCTATCTATAATTAGAATGAAATTGTATTCCGATGACGCTGAGAGTTTCCCGGCTACGGTGATAGTGGGAGATTCTGATACTGAAAGTTTGGCAGATACCATTCTCGACGATTTGGGAGACAAATCAATTAGCTCGTAAAAGGTACAGAATTCATGACTTAATTTTAAATATAGACTAAAATATAAAAGAATTCATTTTTTTCAGATTATTATAATAAAAAGGGCGCCTTTTTCAAATTAATTCGGATGAAAGTTGTCGAATAGGATACGTATAGATGACTGATTTTCTTACTATCGTGTCGTATAAGTTGTGCTTGTGTACTATATATGGGCGCGCGTGTATACGCATCTTATAAAAGCACGTGGTGAGCGCCATCACGGTGCATGTAAGACATCCGCATCCTCGTATTCATGTGAATAGCAAATCGTTATCTGCAAAATACATTGTAAATGGCTTTTTTCATGCACTACACAATAAATCAGATTTTCATGCACTGATATTCAAATTTAAATTCTCTTGCACTTCAAAGCGTTTTTTTTCATTGCATTGACATTTGAGTTTGAGTTTGTAACGTATGTGTGTGTCGCTGACTCGAGCGCTCGGTTGCTGGCGGGCTCGCAGAGCCGTCGTATGGGGGGGTGTCGCTTGCGCGCGTTTGCCGGCGGCACGATTAGTTTCGTTTACTCTTCGAACGGCATTCGCCGGGGACGGACATTCCCTGGATGGAGTGACATTTTTCCTTGGACCTACTCTGGATGAGGTGACTCTCTACTTTCATAAGAAGAATATTTGAAGTGTGTGACGATCTCAACATCGAGGTGTTGGTCCGCCCCGGGAGGCAATTCTTTCCTTTGAGTGATGCCGGCAATTCTTCACTACGATGGCATCGATGGAATCATGTGACAAATGTGCTCACTGGAATTTGGAGCGTGATTTTCTGGATGGATGATCTTTCTTTGGAAATCCACGTCGCCACGGTGCGTTGGGCGATATCAACTTATATTGTCGTTATCATGTAAGTGATGATTTGAATCGAGAAAATCGATGATATTGTTAATAGACTTAATATTGTGAACCATGTGAATAAGAGAAGGCGAATTATGACTAATAATCGAGTGTATCCGACTAATTAAATTCATAAGTTTTTGGGATTAATATTAAATTTTAAGTTACTTATGTATTTCAATGGCGAGTTCGAGAATGTAAATAGTCGCGCGTATGTAAATCAAGCGGACAAAGATGTTTAGAGTATAAGGAATTTGAATAAGGCGACAACACTTCGAGTATGACCTTGCATACTCCGAATTTGTAACTACGATACAAGTTAAACTAACTAAGTGTAACGAATTTGAATAAGGTGACAATATTTGAATATGACTTGGTATACTCTGAATTATTTTAATTATCCTCCTACTCTATCCACTCATACGACATCGTGTATACATATTTGTATTTCTCTTCGGTCCAATGTTGGATTTGATAAAATACAATTATAAGTTGAATTGAATTCATGATTGAGTTAATGACGGGCGTCGATAAGTTTTTTTTTTACTTGAAAATTACCAACATGTTTCAATATTATAAAACTTATTATAGTGATATTGCCAAAGCAAGTGCGGTTCCGGATCAAAATGTTGAACACGTCGAAAAAGTATATTCAAATATATCCGAGAAGAATGATTATAACGTATATAACATCACGTAAGAATAAATTTGCCATATTATTTCCAAGTTATATTTGAAATAGTTTGTATTTAGAGATTATTGCTACGAAAGATTTTTTATCACAAATACTATTTGAATTTCAGTAATTCAAATGTAGGATCAAACGCTAAGTAACATTCAAGTGATAATAGTTCGCAAAGTTTATATTCTGATGCTATTTATTCAATTTCCACTGTAGAATCTTTAAGTGCCAGTGCAGAAAATAACCTAGAATCTGAGGTACTTATGTCTTTGAAATTTCGTTACTGATATAATTAAATACGCAATTTATTAAAAATCAGCTATCGAAGAATGTTGAAAGTCCTGAATTGACGTTTAAAGAGCAATTGCAAAATTGGGCTATCAATAATATCTGGATATTAAGAAATAAAAGTGTCACAGAGTTATTGAAAATTTTACGTGCAAATGGTCATCAAGAGTTTCCAAAAACGGCCGAAACGCTATTGAAAACTAAAAAGTTCTCGCTACCGACAAAAATAATGTAAACAGGTAATTTGAATTCCGGGATATACACTTATTTTGGTATTGAAGAAACCTTAAAACTTATGCTGAAATCGGGTGGATATGAAGAGAATACTATTGAGATAATAGTTAATACTGATGGACTACCAATTTACAAAAGTTCAAATCAACAATTCTGGCCAATATTGATAATAATCTTTCATGAAAATTATATTTGCAAACCCGGCGTAGTTGCGCTCTACTGTGGTGATTCGAAGCCACACTGTTTTGATGAATTTTTTTCCGATTTCATAGTAGAATCAAATAAATTACAAGAAACTGGATTTTCAGTAGCAGACAAACTGTATGCTTTCTCAATCAAAGGGTTCAGCTGCGATTGCCCTGCTCGATCAGCTTTAAAATCTTGCAAAGGTCACACTGGATTTTTTGCATGTGAAAGGTGTCAAATAAAAGGCATCACAATCAATAAAAAGCGAGTTTATCCGCAATTAGATTGTACCCTGCGAAATAAGGAATCCTTCATAAATCAAACGCATAAAGAACATCACAGACGAAATGAAGTTTCACCTTTGATTAAACTCGTAGCATTCGATCCCGTGAGACAAGTGTTCTTAGATTCCATGCACTTGTTTGATAGAGGAATAAGTAAAAATATTTTTGAACAGTATACAGATAAGAGTAGCCCAAATAAGCTCAGCAGAAAACAAAAAAGTGAACTTGACAAGCTTTTGAAAAGTATGAGCACAGGTATTCCCATAGAGTTTCAACGTAAATGTTTCAACTTAAAAGATTCTAATCACTGGAAAGCGACACAGTATCATTTCATTTTAGTTTACGCACTGCCATTTCTATTAAAAGATTTTTGATGACTGCAAAGTACAAGCATTTATTGTTACTATTTGTTAGTAGTCGTATTCTTTTCAGCACAGAATTAGCAGTGACGTATTGGCAATATGCGAAACAGTTGTTAAGAAAATTTTTTTCTATGCTACCTACTATGTATGGGAATGACGTGGTATTTATTGAACGTGGACGTCGTTCTTACAATAACAGTCACATTAAATACAATAATATTATAGTGTTATTGATATTTTATCATCATACGTTCTACGACAACAGATCTGAACAATTGTACAATTGTAATTGTAATTTCTCGCTTGCATATTAACTGTATGTATGTGGTTTTTGGGATAATTTCAAAAATTAACTAAATAGCTTATTCACTGTCATGTTCACGGTCTAATTTCTGGTCAATGAAGTAATCGTTGAAAGAATATTTTACATAGTCTTAGAATACTACAAAGTACATAGTTGTATTACTAGATTCTGCATGGCCATATAACCGTACAAGAATTAACTCCAATAGGACACACGTTTTAAAAAACTTGTGGTAGCTGATTTCAATGTATAAATATATTTCTTCAATTACAATTTCATTTGAATATCTGTAAAATATGCCAAAAAATAAATCAGAGTTTTATCGTCAACATTGCGATCTAAAGCCCAGTGTTTCAGTTTATCTATCACGTTCATTTCAACTTTATGATTAGAGTTTGAAGCATCATCTAACAACAAACCATTAGTCTCTTCAAAAGGACTCTGTATTGGACTACTATTTTCATTTATTGTTTGTAGGTTAGGAAATTCGCCAATATTTTCATTGTTATAAAAATATTTTTTCAATAGAATTCCACTATCTATATCGACCAATTTTTACACATATTTATCTTGAATATTTCCTAAGTTATTAGAATAACAAGTTTCATGAATTTTAGCTTTTTCGGCTTGATTATCTAGAAAATTGAATATTATGCTTTTAAAAATAAGAAAACGACTTATATCTAAATGCAAGAAATTTTTTTTATAAAACTTTCAAGTCTATTCGGCTTAAACGCTTGCAATATGAGCATTAAACTCATTTTGAATCAGTCGATTTTTCCTCTTGCGTTCTCTGTTTTTTACTTTCTCGTTTCCGGAATTTCAATTTTGCATTTTATTATTTAAGCGTAGGCATAAATTCTTTCTAAACGAATTATACAAATATTTATAAAAGTTTTACACTTAGCCTATTTATTTTCAAAACAATCAAGTTTGCCATACTCACCGCGATGAAAACAAATGTGATATGCTAACTAGAATATGATAAAATATTCCTTACAAATATAAATTAACTTTTATCAATTTAATGTCTATAGTATAAATATCGCAAGAAATTCAAATTTTGAACAAAGTACTAAATATAAATTGAAGAGACACAAGTTGTATGAATCGTTATGATCTTTCTCGGTTATATAATTATACAGGGTGACCTATTTTAAAAGAACCACCCCGAAATTGAACCCCAGGCTTCAAATGATTACCTTTCGATAATTTGTTTAAATAACTTTTGATAAATAATTGTAAATGGCAAAAGAAAAAACACGATTTACCTACGATTGGCATAGTTAATTTGGCGCTATCTTGCCAAGGTTTAGCAAGGGCCTTAATGGATTAAGACAATGTGGAAGTGACCAATTTAACTTTCTTTCCAAATCCGAAATAAAAAAATGAGGTGTTTTGAGTAGCCGACTTGGTAGCCAGCCAAGTTAAGCAAACTTGTTAATAATAACGGAAGCTTATTTTCCATTTTTTATCCATTTTTCAAGGCTTTATTCAAGGATTCATTCAAGATTTATTGAACATTACATACAATTTAATTTTATTTAATTAACGAAAGCTTATTTTCCATTTTTTAGCTTAGACGCCGTGTATAAACTTCCTAATTGTTGACATTCTGTTATCTCTCGGGGCGTATTCATGGTCGATGTCTCTCTCTTCATTCAATGATTCGGATTCTCACGTGGTTTGGATGCCGAAGCCTCCCTGGGTAATTTTGACGATCAAGGCCGATACCGTGCTGCAGCTAAATATTACCGTCTAGTTATTGGGTTGGGGGGGGGGCAAGATATTACCAGCAAGTTATTGGGTTACTATAATTAATCTTACCTTTGCCCGATCATCCCTGTGCATAGATGAAGAAAAAAATAAATTTGACCCCTGCATGACCTTACGCGGGGGGGGGGGGGGCGGACCCCACACATAATACCTTATCTGAACGTAGAATTTCTCGCTCTTTCCGAATCCGGGATCAAAATTATAGGTTTCTATTAAAAAAATGACTTTGACCTTCAAATGACCTTGAAAATAAATCTCAATAGTAGTATTCACTATCTTTAATAAAAGGCCATCTCAAAGAGACTATTGTTCTACTGATCCTTTATTGAAATCAGAAGTGATTGTTAACCCACTAACGACCAAGACGGTCGATTTTAGACTAACTTTTCGTAGCTGAATTTCAGGTACTCAACGAAGTAATAACTGGGTCCGACATATCAATCTTTATGTATTTTTGTCTGCTGAATCAGAATCTGGGCTCGAAATTCGACAATTTCTATTGCAAAAAAAGATATGGCGATTTTTTTGCAAAAAAATCTGAAAAAAAATCGCATTTTCAAACTTTATGATTTTTTTTCAGGCAGAAATCGCATGAATTCATGGTGAAATCATCAACCATCGGTGCACAAATTTGTTGAAATTTAACGATAAATTTTTACATATATGTATTTTTCCCCAAAATGGCGGCCAAAATGCAAAAAATTGCATAAAATCGCATTGTTTGTTCATTATTTTTTTTCTCGAAAACTAAAGGATTAAACAAAAATTGTCTAAGAGTAAAAATGTCTTAGAATTGATCAAGGAATACTCTCAAATTTTTTCAGATTTTTTTGAGACAATTTTTGATTATTTGAAAAATGCTAAAACCAAATTTTGAAAAAATGTCTGCAAAAAATCTGAAAAAATTTGAGAGTATTCCTTGATCAATTCTAAGACATTTTTACTCTTAGACAATTTTTGTTTAATCCTTTAGTTTTCGAGAAAAAAAATAATGAACAAACAATGCGATTTTATGCAATTTTTTGCATTTTGGCTGCCATTTTGGGGAAAAATACATATATATAAAAATTTATCGTTAAATTTCAACAAATTTGTGCACCGATGGTTGATGATTTCACCATGAATTCATGCGATTTCTGCCTGAAAAAAAATCATAAAGTTTGAAAATGCGATTTTTTTTCAGATTTTTTTGCAAAAAAATCGCCATATACCGAGGGCGGTCTGGGGCCAGGCGGATTCGGGGCTGGACAGCCACTTCGGCCCGGTCCACCAGAGGTGGTGGTCCTTGAGGGTGTCCGAACCGACCCCCCTAGAGCCGATGTCCGCGGGATTGTCGGTGGTGGGCACGTGGTGAAGGGTTGCTCCGGCAACTAATTCCTGGACGTGGGCGATGTAGTTGTCCACGAGGTCGTTCCCCACCGGTTCGTCGGACTGCAGCCAATGCAGTGCGACGCGAGAGTCGCTCCAGAGGTGGCAGGCCGAGATCGGGACCTTGAGGGCGGAGGCGGTGGGGGTGAGAAGCTGCGAGGCGATGAGAGTCGCACGCATTTCTAGTCGCAGGATTGTCATGCGCAGGCGTCCGGTTGATGCTGGCTGGAGGCTCTTGATGGAGGAGAGCTTCGTCCGAGCGTTGAGTAGGGCGGTGGTGACGCTTCCGTCCTTGTCGATGACCCGCGAGTAGACTGCGGCGGCTAGGGCGCGGCGGCTGGCGTCGGCGAACGCGTGGAGCTGGAGGTTCTCATCGGGTGCGAGCCCGATCCATCGAGGGATGTCGATCTCGGTGGCCGCGAGGATCGTGGAGCGGAATGCGGACCACTTGTCCTGCCACGCCTATGGGAGGATCTCGTCTCAGCTCAGCTTCGCTCTCCACAGATCCTGCACGATCATCTTAGCCACGAGGGTGATTGGCGCCAGCCATCCCGCTGGGTCGAAGATACTGGAGAGCTCGGCGAGGGCCTTGCGCTTAGTCAGCTGAAGCCCGGGATGAGGCGAGGCGGGAGGCTTGAACCGGAATCGGTCAGTGGTCGGGCTCCTCCCAGCCTACTCCGAGCTCGGTGACTGGTCCGTCCGCCGAGAGATGGACCCAGCTGGGTCGAAGGCGATCGTCCACGGCGATGTCCTCAAGCAAGGCGGGGTCGCTGGCCACCCACTTCCGCAGGTGGAAGCCGCCCGCCGTGAGGAGTGCGATTAGCTGATCCCTGAGGCGTCGGGTTATCTCCAAACTGTGGCCGCCGCTGAGGAAGTCGTCCATGTAGAGGACGTTCTCAGCGGCCTCTCGGGCGAGTGGGAAGCGGGCGCCCTCGTCGGCGCAGAGCTATCTGATGGTCCGGAGGGCCAGGTAAGGTGCGCAGGCCTCGCCGTAAGTGATGGTTTGTAGCGCGTAGTGGTGGGCGGGAGAGTCTGCGTCCTGGCTCCACAGCACTCTCTGGAGGTGGACGTCCTCTGGCCTCACGCGGATCTGGCGGAACATCATCTGGATGTCCGCGCAAAAGGCGTAACGGTGCAGCCTCCACCTAGTGAGCCCGGTGGCCACGTGCCCTTGTAGCTTCGGCCCAGCGTGCAGCGCGTCGTTCAGGCTGTATCCCGAGGATGTGGGTCTCGAGGCGTTGAAGACGACGCGCAGTTTCCGTCCTCGATCGTGATGTTGCCAGATTCCGTGATGCGGGATATAGACGGCCGGTCCCTGATGTGCGGTGAGCTCCTCGGCAGTGAGACGCCGCATGTGCCCGAGGTTCTCATACTCGGCCATGAACTCGTGATAGCGGCCCGACAGTTCCTGGTCCCGCTGCATCCGGCGGTGCATCGAGGCGAGGGCGGAACGAGCCTGGCTCAGGCTCTCCCCGAGGAGAGCGACGCGTTCCGGTCGTAGCGGGAGGGCCACGGTGTAGCGCCCTGTGGGGTCTCGGCTGCATCCTCGAGCGAACGCTGCCTCGCACTCGACGTCGGCGGCAGAGATCCTTCTCGCCTGGAGTACCTTCTCCAGAGACCAGAATTTCTGGACGAGGCCGAGGAGGCGCTCGTGGCCGGTCGCTGGGCCCGGGATGGACAGGGTGGCGCAAGACAGGGCGACGCCCTGGTCGGCCTGTCGAGCGGCGGCCACGCGCCCGGTGAGCGTCCAGCCGAACACAGTGTTCTGGGCCAGAAGCGGGCCGTAGCTCTGGACGCCCGATTGGATGATCCGGCTGTAGGCGTCCGCACCGATGACGATGACAATTCCGGCCGGACGGTCGAATTGAGGGTCGGCGAGGGGCAACTCTCCCCGCGGGTCCGGGCGGGGCTTCTTGATGGCTCCGGAGGGGGTGACGATCCCGATATCTCTCAGGACGAGCGCCTCAACGCGGATCAGTCGGCCGCCGGAGGGAGATCCGAGGTGCAGCATCGTCTGGTGTCTCGCCGAGTCCATGGCAGGGCCGGCGACTCCGACAACGTCGACTCGGACGCGGCGCAGCCGAGTCTGCGGGCGAGGGAGAGGCTCAGGAGGGTTGTCTCGGAGCAGGGGTCCAAGAGTGCTCTGCCCGGCACCGGCGGTGAGCCATCGCTGCTGGCCTGGACGACGGCAGTGGGAAGGAGGGACAGTCATAACCGTTCCTCTTCCCTCGCCGCGACCTCTGGACAGGCTCAGGTGACGGCGGCCTGGACGCGGGGGGCCTTTGGCGCGGGATCCTCGTCCTCGTCGCGGTCGGCGGGACGTTTGGCCGGCCTGCCTGCTCCCTCGTGGATGAGGGTGTGGTGGACCCCGGAGCAGCTTCTGTAAGTCCCATTTGACGGGCAGGTCCTGGCCGAGTGCGAGCCACTCAAGCAGTTGAAGCAGAGGCCGCGGTCCGAGACGAGTTTCCTCCTTTCCTCAGGCGTCAGGCCGCGGAAGGTCAGACAGTGGCCGATATAGTGGGCCTCCTTGCAGGCCGGGCATCCGCTCCGCTTGAGGCCAGTGGTGTGGGCCCGCACTTGTCGGCTGCACGGCTGACGCCCCTGGCTCTGGTCGGCCTTGCGGGATGCGTCGGATGCGCTGGTCGATTGAGGGAGGGCAGAGGTCGGGGGGTACAGCGACCGCAACGTCCGGAACCGCCGCTGGAGGAACTCCCCCAGCTGTTCGAAGGTCGGCTCGCTGGTTTTCTCCTCACTCTCCTCCTCCCGGACTCTTCGGGTGGCAGGGTCCATGGCTCGGCTGCCGAGATGGGCGAACCAATCGTCCCAACTACCGACTAGCCGGCCGAGCTTCTCCAGCGCGTTCTCCGGCTCCTCCGCTCAGGGGTGTCGGCCGGACGCGTGTCGTCGCCGTCGGCGCGGCGACGGGACGTGCGTCCGCGACGACCGAGAGCCTCAGCCGTGATGCAGCTGGGGGCCGTTCGGGGGGGGGGGGGGGGGGGGGGGTCAGGTGTCGACCAGGGCTCGCGGAGCCTTGGTAGGGCGACGACGGCGCGTTGGTGTCGGCGAGACCCGGGGTCATTGGCGTCGACGGCGCGTCGGTGTTGGCGAGGCGTCGCTGCTATCGGCGGCGGCCACCTTGGACGCCGCTTGGCGTCGCTGCTGTCGGCGGCGGCCATCTTGGAGGCCGCTTGGCGTCGCTGCTGTCGGCGGCGGCCATCTTGGATGCCGCTTGGCGTCGCTGTTGTCGGCGGCGACCATCTTGGACGCCGCTTGGCGTCGCCATCGTCCACCCCGGGCGCCGTCGCCGAGCTCGGCGTGGCCACCGGGTCCTCGCCGGCGCACGCGGTCGGTCCCAGCCGGCCCTGAAAGTCTGGCCTCCTTCGACCCGTCCCATGCGCGTCGCTGGCGGTCACCTTGCCAGGACGCTCGTCCGCTGGCAGCTGGGCTGGCCGGGGCGAGTCGAAGCTGGGGCTGAGGCGAGCGCGCCTCGTCTCTGGGCCGCGGCTGAAGTCGCGGCGACGCCGGGCTTCGGTCCAGGCGCGACCGCCTGCCGTTAGGCCGACGTTCAGCCCAAATTACATGGGGTACTTACCTCGATCGCTGTCCGGTATCCGGCTCGAAGGACCAAATGTTAAGGCGCTGGCGCAGGGGGATGAGGCGGTAATCCCGTCGGGAATGAAGTGACACAGACACAAGACACTTTCACTTAAACATTTTATTGGCCATCACTTTGGGTGACAGAACAGGCAGAGATTACAATAAGGTCGCGTTAAAGATAGTTCTGGCGGTGGAGAACGCAGGTCGATGCTGGTCGAAGGCTCAAGGCAAACTGAACTTGGAAGCGGTGGTGGCGTTATCTGGCGGGGGGGGAGGCTTTAGTCTCGCCCCTACTTCAGGGCCCGCGTCGTTGTCCCCTCGTTGGGGGGATAGAGAAAGGGGGAAGCTTGGGCTCGAGCTGCGCGAGGCCGGGCAACTCGACCAAACAGTGATAATATCAACAATGTCTCGGCATAATTTTGAAAAAATGAAGTCGTCTATAAAATATTCGGTTCCTGAAGATCAAAACGATGATGACAAAGTGTGGTGGGTCAGAAAAATGGTGGATATTTTTCGAAAGAACATCGGGTAATTTGGTTTTTTCTCGACAGCCTTCTCTATTGATGAAATGATGTTAAAATATTATGGGAGGAATTTTCTCAAACAGTTTATAAAATCTAAGCCCATGAGATTTGGAATAAAGATGTGGGCCTTGTGCAGTGCTGACGGCTACTTATTCGATTTTGATATATACTGCGGAAAAAATCTAAGACATCTGACTTTTTACCTACGTGTGCTCAAGGAAGTAGAGTTGTTCTTCAAATGTTACAACAATTACTGATGAGTACTACGTCAAGAAAATTATATCAATATCATATATATTTTGATAATCTCTTCGCAAGTCCAGATTAGTTAGTTCACTTGAAAAAAATATGACATTTTTAAGAGTACTACAGGTATGGTTGTCAGTGATGCTACCGCAGAATGTTGTAGAATGACAGAATATGTTAAAGAAGTACCAGATTTCTTGCTAGACCTCTTCGAAAATAACATTAGTAATTTAGATCCTTCACAAAAGAAGAAATTTGCTCAACTTCTAACTGATTTCCAAGACATTTTTCAAGATGATGATGTTGCGGGAAAATGTAATTTAATAGAACATAAAATTGAGCTGAGCGATCCTCATCCTATTAAACAACTGGTTCGTCCGGTTCCTTTTCATATCCAAACAGATATTAATCAAATGATTACTGATATGCAAAACCAGGGTATTATCGAAGAATTTTCTAGTTCTTGGTGTTCTCCAGTAGTTTAAAAAAAAAAAGGATAAAACTTGGAGATTTTGTGTAGATTTTCGGAAGTTGAATGAAAAAACACTTAAAGATTCACATCCATTACCTAAGATCGACCATATTTTAGATAAATTAGCTGGCAAATCTTGGTTCTCGACTTTAGATCTCAAAAGTGGATATTGGCAGGTAAAGATTCGTCCGGAAGATAGAGAGAAAACAGCCTTCTCCATTGAAAATGGTTTGTAGCAGTTCATCGTTATGGCTTTTGGCTTATGTAATGCTCCGGCCACTTTTGAAAGGTTAATGGAGAAATTGCTCCGAGATCTTTTAAATGAAATCTGTTTAATTTATCTTGATGATATTATGGTTATGGCAAAATCATTCGATGAGATGTTAGCCAATTTACGCAGAGTTTTTTTGATGATACGTGACGCTAATTTAAAATTGAATAGAAAAAAATGTGTTTTCTTCCAACACGAGATAGAATACTTAGGACACATTGTTTCAGAAAACGGAAAAAAAACTGATCCCAAAAAGATAGAGGCTATGGTTACATGGCCTGTCCCTCGGTGTAAGAAACACGTGAAAAGTTTCACTGGATTATGCTCTTATTATAGACGGTTTATTAAAGGATTTTCTTCTATTGCTAAACCTCTGTATCGCTTAACTGAAAAGGGAACCAAATTCAATTGGACAAGTGATTGCCAAAATTCATTTGTGAAATTAAAAGAAGTTTTAACAACTCCACCTATTTTAACTTTTCCTCGTACCGATTTACCTTTTATTTTAGACACAGATGCTTCAGATCATGGGATAGGAGCTGTCTTGTCACAAGTTCAGGATGGGGTAGAGAGAGTAATAGGTTATTATAGTCGTGTTCTAACAAAAGCCGAGAGAAATTATTATGTTACTCGTCGTGAATTATTGGCAGTAGTAGATACAACTAAAGATTTTCATTACTACTTATGTGGTAGAGCTTTCTTCATTCGTACCGATCATTCGGCGTTAACATGGCTTCTTTCTTTTAGGGATTTGGATGGTTAATTAGCTAGAT